GGGTGGACAGAGAGATGGACAGAAGGGCGGATGGAGGGGTGGACAGAGAGATGGACAGAAGGGCGGATGGAGGGGTGGACAGAGAGATGGACAGAAGGGCGGATGGAGGGGTGGACAGAGAGATGGACAGAAGGGCGGATGGAGGGGTGGACAGAGAGATGGACAGAAGGGCGGATGGAGGGGTGGACAGAGAGATGGACAGAAGGGCGGATGGAGGGGTGGACAGAGAGATGGACAGAAGGGCGGATGGAGGGGTGGACAGAGAGATGGACAGAAGGGCGGATGGAGGGGTGGACAGAGAGATGGACAGAAGGGCGGATGGAGGGGTGGACAGAGAGATGGACAGAAGGGCGGATGGAGGGGTGGACAGAGAGATGGACAGAAGGGCGGATGGAGGGGTGGACAGAGAGATGGACAGAAGGGCGGATGGAGGGGTGGACAGAGAGATGGACAGAAGGGCGGATGGAGGGGTGGACAGAGAGATGGACAGAAGGGCGGATGGAGGGGTGGACAGAGAGATGGACAGAAGGGCGGATGGAGGGGTGGACAGAGAGATGGACAGAAGGGCGGATGGAGGGGTGGACAGAGAGATGGACAGAAGGGCGGATGGAGGGGTGGACAGAGAGATGGACAGAAGGGCGGATGGAGGGGTGGACAGAGAGATGGACAGAAGGGCGGATGGAGGGGTGGACAGAGAGATGGACAGAAGGGCGGATGGAGGGGTGGACAGAGAGATGGACAGAAGGGCGGATGGAGGGGTGGACAGAGAGATGGACAGAAGGGCGGATGGAGGGGTGGACAGAGAGATGGACAGAAGGGCGGATGGAGGGGTGGACAGAGAGATGGACAGAAGGGCGGATGGAGGGGTGGACAGAGAGATGGACAGAAGGGCGGATGGAGGGGTGGACAGAGAGATGGACAGAAGGGCGGATGGAGGGGTGGACAGAGAGATGGACAGAAGGGCGGATGGAGGGGTGGACAGAGAGATGGACAGAAGGGCGGATGGAGGGGTGGACAGAGAGATGGACAGAAGGGCGGATGGAGGGGTGGACAGAGAGATGGACAGAAGGGCGGATGGAGGGGTGGACAGAGAGATGGACAGAAGGGCGGATGGAGGGGTGGACAGAGAGATGGACAGAAGGGCGGATGGAGGGGTGGACAGAGAGATGGACAGAAGGGCGGATGGAGGGGTGGACAGAGAGATGGACAGAAGGGCGGATGGAGGGGTGGACAGAGAGATGGACAGAAGGGCGGATGGAGGGGTGGACAGAGAGATGGACAGAAGGGCGGATGGAGGGGTGGACAGAGAGATGGACAGAAGGGCGGATGGAGGGGTGGACAGAGAGATGGACAGAAGGGCGGATGGAGGGGTGGACAGAGAGATGGACAGAAGGGCGGATGGAGGGGTGGACAGAGAGATGGACAGAAGGGCGGATGGAGGGGTGGACAGAGAGATGGACAGAAGGGTGGATGGAGGAATGGACAGAGGGGTGGACAGAAGGGTGGAGGGATGGATGGAAAGATGAACAGAAGGGTGGACAGAGGGATGGATGGATGGAGGGATGGACAGAAGGGCAGATGGGGGGTGGACAGAGGGGTGGATGGACAGAGGGGAAGACAGAGGGATGGACAGATGGGTGGAGGGATGGATGGAGGGGTGGACAGAGAGATGGACAGAAGGGATGGACGGAGGGGTGGATGGAGGGATGAATGGAAAGACGGACAGAAGGGTGGATGGAGGTGCACCTTGGCTGCAGGTGCACCCAGTGCTCCCCTGGATACGGGTTGCAGGTGCACCCAGTGTCACCCCAGATACAGGTTGCAGGTGCACCTGGTGCTACCCCACCTGCAGGTGCACCCAGTGCTGTCCCAGATGCAGGTGCACCTGGTGCTCCCCTGGATACAGGTGGCAGGTGCACCCGGTGCCACCCCAGATGCAGGATGCAGGTGCACCCAGTGCCGTCCCAGATGCAGGTTGCAGGGGCACCCAGTGTTTCCCCCAGCCGTGGGCACACCCTGGGCACAGCCTGGACTTTTCCAGCTGGTGAGGTCACAGCTGGGCACACAGGGCTGGCATGTGAGTCTCCATCAGTCACCACCCGGTTCACCGCCACCGTCACCACCCAAGGGACACACAGCCACTTCCCAGTTTATTGAATTTGGAGCAATTTCAGCACAAGCCACCGGGCCGGGGAGCTGGGCTGGGTACACTGAGCCCCGTGCGCCAGTGTCCTCCTGGGCACTGTGCCTGGCGGGCGCCCTGGCACGT